TATGAACATTTATTCCTGTCATGATTCTGACATCACACCAAATGCATTCAATCCTATAGAAACAGTAAAAATTAAAAACAGATCAGTTATTTAATAATAAACTAAAATATTTTTAACTTAAAAGAGACATTGAAAAGCTACCTACAGATTACTTAAGTTACTAAATTTAGGCCTAAATGAAATTTCAGACAACTGTACTTTACCTTTAATTATGGACACTTTTACCGCACATGAAACTTCCTTGGTCAGTGCCTCTTGAAGAAAACATGAACCAGAAAAGTTCCAGAAATAAAATTCAAATGCTTTTACTTTCCTGAACTGGGCGGTTGTTATTCGCTGCATTCAAGTACACAACCTGCAAATACAAAGGAAAAAAGAATAATGCAACAAAAAGAACACAAATAAATACATTGGAACTGAATGTATTACAAGCTTCTTTTCCATAAACAGGAATGCCAATCACAACACACTGGATAGCTGGCCAATCAGAGCACACCTCGCTTTTCACAACGATGAGCTTTGTAAAAATCAGAAAAGGCGTTTCAGAAAGGCGGGGCATAGAGGAGCAACAAAAATGTACATTATGGGAAAGAATAATGTGTTTTTTGAACCTTAAACCGCATAAACACATTGCATTACACCAAATTCACAAAATAATGTTCTTTTTAGCAGCATCATATGACCCCTTTAATATCTCCCAGACAGCAGTGAAAATAATGAAAGAAACGGGAAATCTTTGCTGGAGACTCCTTAGACGTTCCTGGTACCAAAGTCAAAGATCTCAATACAAACTCAATAGGAATCAAATTTGTCCAAGATTAAATGATCTGAGCTGATTTTAAAGTTCCATACTCTTACTGTATGACAACACAGAGTCATTTCTGTCTAGTTTTATTTCTCATAAGGAGGAAATTTAAGGAACTGCATTGTGTACAGAAGACAATAGTGTCATTATTCAGCTCGATTTAGTTCAATGTTGATTCAATTTAGTTTAATGATGCTCCGAACTCATGCCAATGATTGATCAGACGTTGCTTTGTCGGGAAGCTCAAACAGTCTGTCTCACAGTGTTGAATCAGCCGACAAATGGTTTACTTTTAGTTGTCTCTGCATATTAACCTGGGATAGGAGGAAGTGTTTTTACATCAGAAAAACTGCACACGTCATCTTCAAGCGTCTCTGAGAAGAAGTGAAATTTGTTCCTCTACTGGTTTCTAACATTTGAGTCCACAGCAGGCGTTAGTCCCATAGGGCCCTGTGGTCTCCTCGTTGGCTGTCATAACATCGGACTTTTCACACTGACTTATGTTGAGCAGACACACTGATCCGTCCTGTGGGCCTGTTCGATTTCAAAGTCACAGTCCCCTGCCAGAACAGGGCCTGTGGTGATGGAGAAGTTTACCGTGGGCCCTTCAGCTGCAGCGCTGCCCTCATCTACTGCTCTTATACGCTTAAAATCTTACTCACACCCACGGCCTTCCAAGTTTCCATGAAAATGTGAGTTATGCTTCAAATGTCAGGTTTTTCCCTTTTTCAACAACATGTGGCGATTTAACCAAGACAGGAAAGTAGTTTAAAATCATCATTAAATTAAAATTCATATAGGCCTAATCTATTTTCTAAATGCATGCTATTGGTCTTATTGTGAACAATTTATCTGTGCGTGTTTACATTTTTTTTTAATGTTTTAACCTTGTAATGTTTGATCAAAACCCAGTTAACAAAAATATATTCTAAGGACATTTTGTTAACATTCCAATTAAAGGGATAGTTCACCCAAAAATGAAAATTGCCCCATGATATCCTAGGTGTATATGACTTTCTTCTTTCAGATGAATACAATCGGAATTATATAAAAAAAATATGTTTATAAAGGCAGTGAATGGATGTCTAAGTTTTGAAGCCCAAAAAAGTGCATCCATCCATCATAAAAGTACTCCACACAGCTCCGGGGGGTTAATAAAGGCCTTCTGAAGTGAAATAATGTGTTTTTGTAAGCAAAATATCCATATTTAAAATTTTATCAAAACATAATCTCTATCTTATGCTAACTGTCTTACGCGCATTCGAGAGAGTGGTGTTCCAGCGGATGACATAGGACGTAGGTGTAGCGTAAGCTCCGGTGAGAAGTGACGAATGCGACTTTAGCTATGTTGAAGCATCCCAGATATACACACGAACGCACCATTTTAGAACTAATAAAATGTGACATCACATTGCTCAGGCCCGCCCACAGCCACTGACTGACACCGCTGTATTAGCAGAGACCCGACCTGAGTGAGCCGCACACAATCCGCCATGTTTATCTTCACTCTAGAGCATGTAAAGGGGTCATATGATGCAATTTGAATTTTTCCTTTCTCTTTGGAGTGTTACAAGCTCTTGGTGCATAAAGAAGATCTGTAAAGTTGCAAACACTAAAGTCTCAAATCCAAAGAGATATTCTTTATAAAAGTTAAGAGTCAACCACGCCTACCTAAAATGGCTCGTTCTAACACGCCCCCACATGTCTACGTCACGTTGTGGAAAAATTTGCATAACGCCCAAATGTTCACGCAAAGAAAGAAGGCGTCATTTTTATTCTCGCTGTAGTATTGTTGCTGCCGCCGCCATGTCGTGAAGAAGTGAAAGCGAAACTACTTTGTTTGGCCTTCCAAAAGTGGATGATATCCGCTTCGTCATGCCTAGAGCTGATCCGTGCTGGTCGCTGAGGAAATGCATCAACTTCGCGATGTGGATCACCGGATCGGCTTTTACCGTGGACCTGAGACACGGCATCACAGTATGGTGAGAGGCGTAACATTTCCGTCACACGCTTGAGGTATTCGGCCAATCACAATGCACTGGATAGCTGGCCAATCACAGCACACCTTGCTTTTCAGACCGTTGAGCTTTGTAAAAATCGACGCGTTTCAGAAAGGCGGGGTATAGAGGAGAAACAATAATGTACAGTATGTGGAAAATAATGTTTTTTTTTTTTTTTACCTTAAAACTGCATAAACACATTTCATTACACCAAATACACAAAATAATGTTCTTTTTAGCAACATCATATGACCCCTTTAAAAGCAGCATTCAAGTAAGACATGTCTTCCTATTAAAGCTATAACTTAAAAATTATTTGGTCAAGAGCAGTGAATGATTTTCTGATTTTATTTTATTCTTTGGATCATATTAACAGCGTAGACAGCAGTACTACATCTTACGCTGCTGTCACTTCATACACAGATGTAATATAAACATGCAATTTCTTTCCCAGCTATTTACCTTCACAGCCATAACCGACTGTGTTTTTGTAACTCATGTGTGTTTTTAACATAACCTTGTGTGTATTTGACAGTTTAAGCGCAATAAGACATGAAAGATAACTTAGTTCTGTACTCGCATGCCGTGTGACAGCCGCTTTCTGTGCACGTGCTTCAGATGTGTGCGCTCAGAAAACCCTATATCAGAAGTTTAAACTGATATGGCTTTGAAACGCATGATTTCAGCATAATAAAAACCAAACAGATGTTGTTTGTTTTGGCAGCATATCTGATGTATGCGCTGTAAAGGCACAGCCCTATTGTGGAAAGGTGGCAGGGAGCAGCAGCTCATTTGCATTTAAAGATACAGGCATGAAAATTAACCATGGTTTTATTAGAGTAAAAGTGTAGTAACAAGTTTTCTGGTGTATTGACTACCATTTGTATAACCACAGTTTTACTACAAATACCATGGTTAAACTATGGTTAGTGTGGCAAAACCATGGTTAATTTGTAGTTACCATGGTTTAACTATAGTAACCATGGTTTTTTGGTTTTATTTGTAGTAAAACAATGGTTAATTTTCGTAACGGTACAGGCACGAACAAGCCTGTTTCTGCTTCCACTCAAAATAGGCATTTTCAAAATGATATAATAAATCATCTGTGGGGTATTTTGAGCTAAAACTTCAGAGACATTCTGGGGACACCTAGACTTATTTTGTATCTTGTAAAAAGGGGCATAACAGGTGCCCTTTAATTAAGTCACCGACACAACGGCCAATTCTGATTAGCCGATGATAACATTTCTGTTGTTTTTTCGTAATATCCCTATTGGCTTTTTTTCTTTTTCTTTTCTTATGGTGCTATATTAGTTTAATTTCTGTTGAATCACTCTGCGCTCTTTTTCTTCTCACATTGTAAAATAATTTAACTTATATCATTATTTAATATTCATGTATTTTATATTTGATAAGTATACTGTAAAAAAAATGATTGGAATTTTAAAAGACCGTAAAAATGCTAGAGCAAAAACCAGTTAATTGGTTAATGGCAAATTCCCTTACTCTTCAAAGTGAAAAAAACTGTAATAACTAACAGGACATTTCATGTAATTTTACAATAAAACAATTACAGTTAAATTTATATTTTTTGGAAGTGAAAAGTCATTTTATAATTTACAGTGAAAATGTAAATTGACATTCCCAGAATTCCATGTGACACTTCGCATTTGATGTTTTTTTATTAAAATAACTATTTATTCTTAGTTTTCTCTGTAAATTTCACCGTGTATCTGCATTGCAGGTGGGATGAATAAACCATTTCAGCCTGATATAAGATATATATATATTTTTTTTGATAATGAGCATCTAACTGTACATAATCCTTCAAATAAACTATCACAGATAATGAGCATCTAACTGTACATAATCCTTCAAATAATCTATCACAGATAATGAGCATCTAACTGTACATAATCCTTCAAATAATCTATCATAGATAATGAGCATCTAACTGTACATAATCCTTCAAATAATCTATCATAGATAATGAGCATCTACCTGTACATAATCCTTCAAATAAACTATCATACTCATTCTGGAGGATGAGTCAAGCTCTCAAGATGTTCATTTTAACTTCACATTCCCCGTAGACCTGATCAATCAGCAGGGCTTTGGGATGCTGGGTGGATTTTTTTTTGTTACCATGGAAACACTCACCTGACCTTGATTGCTCTCTCTCTCTGGCTCCTCAGGTATATCCAGATGATGCTGGTCATGTGCAATCCTCTACAGGTGAGTTACCTGAAATCAAAACAACCTGTTTAATGGACATTACTGGTCTTATTGTGCATGATTCAGTCTGTTCGTGTTATTTCATATATGTTTTCTTCATAATCATTCATAGTCTGAATAAAATAGTCTGAATTAATGAATGCGGTAACAGTTTACAACAAGGTTCCATTATAGCAATAGTTCATGCATTAGCTAGCAAGCTATCTTAAACAAAAGAAAATCAACAGAAAAAATTATTTAAAAATATATAGATATTATCAAACATGAATGCATTTGAAAAAAATAAAAAATTAATTGTTACTGTATTCGTGTAAAAGTTCTGGAGGCTAAACATGACCAGCAGTAGATCATCCAAAATCCACTGCAAACTCACTTTCTGATACGAAATACCATGCTTTAACAATACACACCATAAATTCAACCTAGGCTAACCATAGTGCTTTTTTGGTAGTGATGAGTTCAGAACTGTTTTCACGGTCAGTTCACTTCAGAAAAATGTCTGAATATAAGGGGAAATAAAGACTGGATGTGTGTGGTCTGTTGCCTGCAGGTGTTTGGAGTGGACGGGGTGAATTTCAGCGTGCACGTAGAGAATCAGACTCGTGCACGAGACGCCATGAGCCGGCGACATCATCGCGTGTACCAGCTTTACAGCCGCACCAGTGGGAAACACGTCCAGGTGCTCGGACGCAAAATCAGCGCCCACTATCAAACTCATTCTGGAGGATGAGTCAAGCTCTCAAGATGTTCATTTTAACTTCACATTCCCCGTAGACCTGATCAATCAGCAGGGCTTTGGGATGCTGGGTGGATTTTTTTTTTGTTACCATGGAAACACTCACCTGACCTTGATTGCTCTCTCTCTCTGGCTCCTCAGGTATATCCAGATGATGCTGGTCATGTGCAATCCTCTACAGGTGAGTTACCTGAAATCAAAATAACCTGTTTAATGGACATTACTGGTCTTATTGTGCATGATTCAGTCTGTTCGTGTTATTTCATATATGTTTTCTTCATAATCATTCATGAAAATAGTCTGAATTAATGAATGCGGTAACAGTTTACAACAAGGTTCCATTATAGCAATAGTTCATGCATTAGCTAGCATGAATTTACTATGAGAAATAATTTTTTTACAGCATTCATTAATCTGTTAATGTTAAAAAGCAAGCAACCAAGCAAACAAACAAACAAACAAAAAAATGCCTATTTCAACTTAAAAATTTAAGTTCAGTTTCTGCCTTAAAGATTGAAGTATAATCAACTTGATTGGACAAGTCATTTCAATTTAAACTTAAAAACAATTGTGAATTTTCATATAACTTAATATAACAAAAACTTAAAGTTGACTGGAATTGATTATGTTGAAATACATAAGTTGCCATGACTTACTGATTAGATCATTTTTCACAGTTAATAAAAATAGTTTGTTGTTTGTCCATGTCAGTTCACAGTGCTTTAACTAATGTTAATATTCAACTTTTGATTTTACAAAATGTAGCAAATGTTGAAACTGACAAACTAAGATTAATCAATTCAGTACAAGGATTGTTCTTTCATGTTAACTAGTGTAGTTAACTAATGTTTACAAATTATACCTTATTGTATGTTAAATAGTAATCCTTATTAATGTTAAATTGTCATATTTAGTGTTCTGTTGCAGGTAATGCAACATAATTAATTTAGTACAAGTTAAACAAATGTTTGTGTAATAAAGTTAATAAAAGAATAAATAAAAAATGGTGAAAAAATCATAATAAAATATCATAATAATAAAAATAACAAAATCGTAAAATAAATATAAATAATAATAATAATAATTAAACAAAAGAAAATCAACAGAAAAAATAATTAAAAAATATATAGATATTATCAAACATGAATGCATTTGAAAAAAATAAATAATTAATTGTTACTGTATACGTGTAAAAGTTCTGGAGGCTAAACATGACCAGCAGTAGATCATCCAAAATCCACTGCAAACTCACTTTCTGATACGAAATACCATGCTTTAACAATACACACCATAAATTCAACCTAGGCTAACCATAGTGCTTTTTTGGTAGTGATGAGTTCAGAACTGTTTTCACTGTGAGTTCACTTCAGAAAAATGTCTGAATATAAGGGGAAATAAAGACTGGATGTGTGTGGTCTGTTGCCTGCAGGTGTTTGGAGTGGACGGGGTGAATTTCAGCGTGCACGTAGAGAATCAGACTCGTGCACGAGACGCCATGAGCCGGCGACATCATCGCGTGTACCAGCTTTACAGCCGCACCAGTGGGAAACACGTCCAGGTGCTCGGACGCAAAATCAGCGCCCGAGGAGAGGACGGAGACAAATATGGTAACAACACACACACACACACACACTCACTCACTCACTCAAGAAAGACCACCCACGTAATCAAACAGGAAACAGGAAAAGTAGAAGACAAAGATTCAGCTACTGCTAATACAGTGATTCACAGACAGAGAGAAGAAGAAGCCAGTGAATTCTGTTGAAATTCCAAGAAAACAAGTATATTGTGACATACATCATTGCAGTAATACTAAACTACTAATATCATAGGTTTTAGCCATATCACCATAATCTACCAAACAATTGCACATTTTCTGTTTTCAAAATTGTGAATTTTGGATATAAACGAATGAAAATGTGGCCATCAGCCACCCTGAGCTTTAGATAAAAGTATTGGCGACTGAAAAACGTCAATCTCCATCTTCGTTTACTCCTTTCTCCCCCCTTCCGTTTATCCATCCATCGCCTCTCCTCCTCTGAATGCATGGATGGGTTTCAGAAGCACACAATCAATGGACATGAAAGTGGCCTGTTTTATTGAGGGGTGAATCTCACAAAAACGTCCAAAATGCAAAATAAATAAATATATACAGTGGGGCAAAAAAGTATTTAGTCAGCCACCAATTGTGCAAGTTCTCCCACTTAAAAAGATGAGAGAGGCCTGTAATTTTCATCATAGGTATACCTCAACTATGAGAGACGAAATGAGAAAAAAAAATCCAGAAAATCACATTGTAGGATTTTTAAAGAATTAATTGGTAAATTCCTCGGTAAAATAAGTATTTGGTCACCTACAAACAAGCAAGATTTCTGGCTCTCACAGACCTGTAACTTCTTCTTTAAGAGGCTCCTCTGTCCTCCACTGGTTACCTGTATTAATGGCATCTGTTTGAACTCGTTATCAGTATAAAAGACACCTGTCCACAACCTCAAACAGTCACACTCCAAACTCCACCATGGCCAAGACCAAAGAGCTGTCAAAGGACACCAAAAACAAAATTGTAGACCTGCACCAGGATGGGAAGACTGAATCTGCAATAGGTAAGCAGCTTGGTGTGAAGAAATCAACTGTGGGAGCAATTATTAGAAAATGAAAGACATACAAGACCACTGATAATCTCCCTCGATCTGGAGCTCCACGCAAGATCTCACCCCGTGAGGTCAAAATGATCACAAGAACTGTGAGCAAAAATCCCAGAACCACACGGAGGGACCTAGTGAATGACCTGCAGAGAGCTGGGACCAAAGTAACAAAGGCTACCATCAGTAACACACTGCACCGCCAGGGACTCAAATCCTGCAGTGACAGACGTGTCCCCCTGCTTAAGCCAGTACATGTCCAGGCCCATCTGAAGTTTGCTAGAGAGCATTTGGATGATCCAGAAGAGGATTGGGAGAATGTCATATGGTCAGATGAAACCAAAATAGAACTTTTTGGTAAAAACTCAACTTGTCATGTTTGGAGGAGAAAGAATGCTGAGTTGCATCCAAAGAACACCATACCTACTGTGAAGCATGGGGGTGGAAACATCATGCTTTGGGGCTGTTTTTCTGCAAAGGGACCAGGACAACTGATCCGTGTAAACGAAAGAATGAATGGGGCCATGTATCGTGAGATTTTGAGTGAAAACCTCCTTCCATCAGCAAGGGCATTGAAGATGAAACATGGCTGGGTCTTTCAGCATGACAATGATCCCAAACACACCACCCGGGCAACGAAGGAGTGGCTTCGTAAGAAGCATTTCAAGGCCCTGGAGTGGCCTAGCCAGTCTCCAGATCTCAACCCCATAGAAAATCTTTGGAGGGAGTTGAAAATCCATGTTGCCCAGCGACAGCCCCAAAACATTACTGCTCTAGAGGAGATCTGCATGGAGGAATGGGCCAAAATACCAACAACAGTGTGTGAAAACCTTGTGAAGACTTACAGAAAAAGTTTGACCTCTGTCATTGCCAACAAAAGGTGTATATAACAAAGTATTGAGATGAAATTGTGTTATTGACCAAATACTTATTTTCCACCATAATTCTTTAAAAATCCTACAATGTGATTTTCTGATTTTTTTT